ATAGAATCTGCACTGTATAAAATACGGTCGTAGCGTTTCCCTAATGGTCGGAGACAGTGATAATTATACATAATTGCCTTAATCAAAGTTTGACCTATTTTGTGACGATTTTGACTACGCTTTGTCTGACAGCTGACGGGGGTCGGCTAATTAGTGTGGATGGGTCCGTAGTTGGCCGTCGCGGCCCCTTGCCGCTATTCTTTCCTTTGTTCTAATAGCTATATAAGCCTTCGTATAGCGTCTTCTACTCGTTAATATATTATAGGGTTCTATTCTATAGATATATAGTAGTCTTAAATATCTTAGGCTAGATAGATATACGTAAATTAGTCCTAATTCTTATAGCCCTTGTCCTCCTTTTAATAATACCTTTAATCCATTCTATAACGCTATTTTAATTCTATAAATATAGTGCTAACAGCTAGCTTTCTACCCCCTTAGTAGCGGGGAAAGCTACGATTTCTATATACTAAAATATCTCGGAAACAGCCCGTAGAATACGTAGTCTTATATCGAATTAGGTCTTAAGCAGGGTAAAAACGTCCTTTAGCATATAAAGGATAGAGTCTTAGTCTCTCTTCTACACGTAATAATCCGATATAGAGCATATATATATATATAACGAAACTAATAGACTTATATAAACCGCCCGTTAACGACTCCGACTCTTTAAGATTATGAAAATTAATAGCTAGGGCTTTGCCGGGCTCTATTAGATAGAGGGATAGCACCCTCCTAATCTATATAGGTATTTACGATTACATATACGCGTTATACTCTATAATACACGGTCCTTTAATCCTTACCCCCTTGGTAGCGTTAACAATCCTTATAAGAGTATTTACGCCGTAGTAGCCGAGGCGTTCGTGCTACCTTTATACTATAGTTTTCTGCGGTTACCTCGGTTATCGTGATGTTCCGTGCGGGTTATCGCGTAGATGCTAAGCCGAAACAGTAAACACGGTAGTAGTAGCCGTAGCTTCCGCATACTCGATTATAAACTAGCCGTGGATATCTAGTAGCTTATAGATACGCCGGTTATTAGCAGAGCTAATAATAGTATTATTTATAGTATCCTAGCGAAAGCCTTATAGGCGTAGCTAGCGTTCCGAGACTATATTAATAATAAAGTCCTTATAGTACACGGTATCGTGTAGGCGTAATAGCCTTCTTATACTGGATAAGGATTATATATATAGCTTAATATCTCTGTACCGAAGGATAGGAGCCTTATAGGTGCCTGCTTAGAGTGATACAAATACAGTCTTAATAGGTAGTCTAATAGCCGTAAAACGGCCTTATTAATTAAAGATATAGATTAACGATCCTATGTCTAGAATTATATCGTCGCCTAATCCCTTTAGTTAACGAGGGTAATAGCTACTACTGTCTATTTGGGGTCAGATACGTTAGAAGATATCTTTGGTTATTTATCGGTCTATTAATTAATTAATAGGTAGGTCGGTAGTTTAATTAATCGCTTAATTACTCTGATTGGGTTAATAGTAATTATTTAAATAGTGCTTACGAAATATACTTGCTTTAATAGTAGAATAGGGCAGCCTTATTAATATCTATTATTTAGGCGTTATAAACCGGCATTATAACTATCGCACTTTAAAATAGCACTTATATAATTAACTTAATAGAATATAAATCTTATATATATATATATATATATAGTATATTAAGTTATATCTCTATAAGTCTCTTATCCCCTTAATTTTAGTGGTAAAGACTCTGTTATATGTACTATATTATTTTGGATCCTATCCGGTCTTTTCCGGTATCCGCCCTAGTTATATCCTGCTACGAAGCCCTTAGTTAGGCATAGATCCCTTAGAGCCTACGTCGTGGTCCGTGTGTCTATACGATATATATCGCGATTAGTAAGGTAATATAGCCGGCTAGGCCGTGGGAGTAACCTAGCTGATTTCTGCTCTTAGTATCCCTTGTATATTCTATAGATAGACCCTAGGGATATGCCTATTCTATATGCGACCTCGCGATACGTTAGCCTTATTTCGAGTAAGGATATAATCGTTATTCGTGTATAAGGCGAATAATACTGTTTAGGGGTCTATGGCTATTGAACTGGTATTGTTACGGCTGTTTAAAGATAGAGGGTTATAGTAAGAATAACGCGTTTGAACGCATTAAGAGTGAAAATGTGGGTTTTGACTCGAAATTAGTATGGGGCCACTATAGGAACGAGGTAATATATTAAGCCCCGTTATTCCGACTTTACTATTTGGTTATTCAGACTATAGTTTGGTTATGGACCCACTTTTCCAACTAATTAAAAATTAGGAGCTAACTTCACTACCTCCAGCCTTAATCGTTAATTTAACCAAACCAGACCTATCTTTATACCCTTAACCTATTAGTTAATTAATTAATCTTGTACCCTTAATCCATTAGTCAGTTAATCTATTAGTTAATTAACTAATTAACGCGGCGATAGTGCTTTTACCTCTTATCTTCTGTATATTAGGCTACGAAGATTTTAACGATCTTTTAGTCTCCGTAAACGACTACGTAAAGGAATACGATTACGCTATTATAATCCGATAACCCTCTAATAAGGATAAGACCGGCTAATACCGATAGAAGGAGCTTTACTACGATCGCGGCGGTAGCGAGCGTGGATCGTAAGCTACTAGCGCTTACCTAAACGCGACCTTAAGGAAGGTTAGATATCCTTTTACCGTAGTAGTAACCTTTAAGGATAATCGCTAGTTCATAGATATCTCGAACCCCGACTATAACCACGATACCACCCTTAATATAGCCTCGTATCTAATGTATTATAAGAGGACCTAGACCCTAGATTAACGTAATAAGATCTGTTAATACTTTAAGACTAGCCTTACCTCCGCCCGAGATATCACGACGTTTATAAGGGAGAAATACCCTGACTAAACCTGGGTTCGTGCCGATATTTATAATATGATATCTAAACATTAAGAGGAGTTACTCGTAGGCTATATACTTATATAAGCGCTTATCCGCGAGTTCCGCGAGCGCGGTATTAAGCACTTCTTCTAGTAATTAGATAGCCGTAATATAGGTATTATCTAGACGATACTATAATATAAAGAGATATAGAACCGTAACTCTGAGGTTCTCTTTACAGATAATATATATAAAACTAATAGGTTTAAGATACCGTTAATAGATATCTATAGGGTCGTAAATATCGGCTCTATATTTAACGTCGCGTTCGCCTTAGTAAATAAGGAAGACGAAAAGCCTTATATATAGTTAATAGAATAACTTAAAGAGCTATATTACTAACTTACTATCCCTCGCCTATATATTATTATTACTAATCTTAATCGCGCTCTAAAGAACGCTATCGCGAGTACCTAGGATGACGTAAAGTAATAGATGTACGTATAGTATATTAATAAAAACATCGCTAATAAGGTTAAGGATAGATAGTATTAGGAAGGCAATTACTAAGAATAGTAACAGTAACGGCAGGCGTTTAAGGCTCGTAACACGCCTCTTTTTAGCGAGCTTACTCTTATAGACCAGGAACCAGCTAATATTACCCTCCTAAGAGAAACCGATATTATATATAACCCTCGCGGCTTCTTAATAATATAGAAGGCGGTTATTTACACGAAGACGGAAGAGGATTTTAAAAAGGCGTGGCTATATCTACTCACGTAATTCCTAGAATAAGAAGAGGTTATTTAGTATATCCTCTAGATATGCCTACCTTAGCGGAAGTAATTTACGACTTACTGGATCACGAATAATAGGAATTAGGGTTATCGTATAACGGCTTAGTTAGAGGCTAACTATAGCCTAATTAAGGGATATCTACTTAACTCTTTTATGGATATTAAGTTCCTCGCCGAGCAGATTAAGTTAATACCAGTAAATAATAAGGCAGAGTATAAGAGAATAGAGTCTAATTAAGCCTAGCGTTAAATTAAGGATTATCGTACGCGGAATTAGATAGGAGACGCGAGGTAATACTATAGCAGAGTCGCCTTAAAGCTCTTATTAAAGTAATTCTATATCGCTATTAGCGTTACTAAATTATAAGCGCGAGCGGCGGTATCGTTAACGCCTCTAACGCCTTATACTAGGCAGTTTAGATAGTAATTCGGCGTCCCTTATTAGTATAAGATTATAGTAAAGGAATAATCTAAGGCTCCTTTTAGCTATACTAACTTCTATCCTTATTAGTATCTCGGCCGCGATCTTAGGTAATAGCTAGATAACGATATACGGCGGATACTTAAGCCTCTTATCATGATTATTAGCCGCGGTCGGCCTCGCCTTACGCCCGAAGATATCCCTATAGCGTTAATCCCTTATAGCGGTAATATATAGAGGCAGTTATAACGAACTCGCGCCTATAAACCCTCCGAATAGGAATTAGAGGAGTAATAAGCGCTGGCTAGGTAAGAGGAGGTAGCGGCGAGGTTTACTGCCTTAGAGCAGTACTAATAATAACAATATTAGTAATAAGGTAGTCGCGATACCCGTGGGCGTGGGCGCGGGCGTAGAGGTTAAGACCGTGGAGCTATCGTTATAAGCATTATGAGCGTTACGAGCGTCACGAATAGCTTTAATCGAATAGATAAGCTTATCCGTTAATTATAAGGGCAGTAGTGGTTACTAGGATATATAACCGGTAGATAGATAGGACGCGGGATTCTATAACGTGGTGGTAATTAGCTATAAAATAGAATAACAGGACCTAATCCGAGTCCTCCGAAACACACCTACTACTTCCTTTAATTAACCCGAGGGGTTAAATTAGTTCCTATATAAAAGCTCGAAAAAGACGTTATAGTAGTTTACGATCTTTACGATCTAATCGCGACGTATCGTGGTTATATACCCGTGGAGGACAGTATTCCGAAGAGGAAATAAGTGGGTCCACGATCGAACTACAGTCGGAATAACGGGCCTCTAACATAATATAGTTTGTCACACCTGGATAAGGTAGCTGAGGGCATCTGACACATACTGAATGAACGATTCATCGCAATTAAGCAGCAACCGCAACCATCAAGGTCCCACGGATCCGTTCGCCTTACATTCTAATATTTTGACGGAAACCGGGGCCTGAACGTTTAGAACCCCTTAATCTTCATTACTGTGGCTCTTGCCTTGTCATTTCTTCGATACAGTGTTCCTGTATTCTAGTAGCGATTTTGGCACGGGTGCTCCGTGAACTTCCGCGCTCCAGCAAAGCTGCCCTCCCGGCCTTGCCGAACGATATCTACATACGTTCCGGAAAGGCAAGTTGATAATATGGCGACAAATGCTAGCAACAAGCGACGGAGAATGGACGAAGATGGTATCTCAATGCTGGGAGCAAACGATACTCGAGTCACGGTCAGGAAAGTCGCATTCCCGTCACTCAGCCATCAATCCAGGACCGGTCTTCGGCGGGCTATTTCTATGACCTTGCAGCACGTGGGTTTTGATGCTGCGACACCCGAAGCCATGGAAAGCTATGTGTCCATGGTGGAAACCTGTTCGTCGCTCCTTTTGTCCTATCCCTGCTCCAAACTAACGTTAAGGTTCGCAAGATATGTCCTCATTTGCGGCCGATTTGAAACAAGCAGCGCTTGGAGCTCGTAGGGAGCAACCGACGCCCACCGACTTTGAATCCACCATGCGTCGCTTTGCTCTGGTAACATCATCACTTAAACCCCACCTCAAAACGTCCTTTTTGGGGTCCAAGGTCGTCCCTTCATACGCTACCACCATTGCGAATGAGGAAGTGGAAGATATCTTGCCTACGCTTTCCAACGAACTCAGCGGCAAGCCAGAGAAAGACCAGCGACCTTACATACCAAAGTCGTTTCCCGACTTTCCGAGCAAGCATGCATATCGCTATACCCCTAGAGGGGGCGAGACGAGCTGCGACTCGAAGATGGTCCGAGAAGAGGCTGCCCGGGCAGCGAAGGAAGGAGAAGAAGCACTAAGGAGACTGTTGCGGGCATCGAAGATACGGAAGCAAAAGGAAGTCAGCAATTTGTCGAAACGAGATACCATTACAAACTCACGCTACGAGCTTTGGGAAGCAGCCATGAGGAAGTTCATAAGGCAGGATGGCGGGGACTCTTGCCAGGTCGAGGTTGCTGACCGCAGCATGATCGTGAACGCAGATTCAAAGTACATGCGCAAGCCGGTGCCTCGACAACAAGGTAAACGGTGTGCCGCGCATGGGAAACATAGTCCAGATGAGACAGCATCGAGGAGGTCTGTTTACCGACCTGCCAATGACTACTAGATCGAGGGGGACATTTTCTTTGGAAGCTGACGTGGTTGACTCGTGCCATATCACTACACCTCTTCCAGGATCAGAAACCTTAGCTCGTATACAAACTAATATAACTAGCTAGGGATAACAGGGGACCCCTATAGGTAGAAGTACACACTTACACATAATAACTATAACGATTTCTTAAGTATCTATACCCATACAAAAGGAACAATTCCCTTAATAACATCGTTAAAACACTAAGTCAGAAATTAGTGTCTTCCCTATCCCTCTTAATAACCTAATATAGGCGGGCTAGCATCGTACGAACTAAAGACTCTAAAAAGCTCCCATTAACAGCCTCCTAAGTAGCCTCGATAGCTACTTTTAGTTCTTAGCTGCCTATCCACTATAGCTACGGATATTAGTATTTAATCCAGCTCTTTATAAAGAACTATACGTGCTTTATAGGAGCGAGGTTAGGGGAATAGGGGGGGTAGTCTATTAAGATAATATCGTAGTTTTAAAGCTAGCTCTTTACTTTCCTTAATCTATAAGAGGGCGTACTATTATATTAATATATCTTATACAGAAAACGCTTTTCTATAAAGCGGTTAATCTTTAGGTAGATGAATTTAACAAATCTATCCCCGTTAACGCCTCTATACTCCTTTAGCTAGATATAATAGGGCCCCTTTATACGCCCTATAGTATAACCCTAGAATATCCATCCCTCAGGGTTTATCTAAAGTAGTAGGAAGTCTTCGGGGCGTTCTATATCGTGAATAGTCACCCATTACTTCTAGAGAGAATCGTTAATGGCCTAAGTCTTATCGGCTACGACGATAGCGTTATTAACCTAATCTTCTAGGGTTAGAAGGAGCTTTAGTATATCCTAGGCGAAGGAGACACGCTTACTTTTATAAACCTCCTCGAGATATATACACTATAGGCGGATATGACGTGAATACCCGAGATCTTTTATAGTAGACTATATAGCTATATCGCTATATAAGGAGAGACCAGGTATAAGAAAGCGTAGATCTCGTCACGTAGCTATATAATAGCGTTAGTCTTACTAAATCTATTCGTGTATACGGCGTCGTAAAAGCGTGTTAATCTTCTTTCTATACGACTTAAACCTCCGAGGCGTAGTCTTTTTAGCCTAATAGGCCTACTAAACCTAATATTCTATAACCCTTTAGCCAGTGGTTTTAGAGGCTACGGCTACGATACGGCTATAAGTCTAGCCTACGATATATCGGAGGCCCTGAATTTTTAGCCTTAGATCTTAAGATAGTTCCTAAGAATAAGGCTACGGGTCTTAATACTGTAGAATTAGCTATAGGGCGTCTTAATAAGCGGTTATAATTAACCGATTATTACGGCGGTTCTATCACGAGGCTAAAGGAGAGCTAGGAGGAAAACGCCTCTTAAGGACAGTTCTATTAAGGGATTCGTCGACTATAAGTAGGCGGCGAAGCTAGGAAGTCTTAGGTGTCGTATAGGGACACGGACCACGACGTAGTCCCTAGGGGATCTATACCTGACTAAGGGCTTTAGATCTCGGGGACCTCGGGTATTAGGATATAACAGGGACGGATATATCAAGAAGGAGATATAGGTCTACCCCGAAGGGATAAGGACTAGACGGTGATAGGGAGTAACAGATAAGGATCGTAGTCTTATACAAGGGGAGGCCAACTATAGGTTAACTAGTAGTTAATAGGAAGAGTAGCTTAAAGGTAGGTAGTAGTATAGAGGAGAGATAATCGCTAACCCCTTCCTTCCGGAATAGTCCAGCTCTCCGTCTTATATAATAAATATCCACTTATTAGTTAGCCGGTAGTCCACTATTATATCCTAGTACCTGCTAAGTCTTCCTTATATCCTACACCTAATAGGCTACCCCTTCCTGGAATAAGGCCTATCCTTAGGCTATAGCTAGTTATAGAGTATCCGTAGGGTAGGTAATAGTTATCGGGTAAGGCGAGTAGGTTAATAGTATTATCGGTGATATATGGGTCGGAGCTTAAAGAAAATAAAGCCGTAGGTAATCCACCGTTAAGTGATAGTAGAGCTAAAGGCTTAAAATATATCCTAACCTTATATAGTAGTACTAGAGGATATTTTTAGGGGAAGAGAATAAAGAGAAAATTCCTTACGAAGTATAATATTTTAGGTATATATAAGGGCGTGGAAAGAACTACTATAGGTAGCTAACCGTTAATTAGACGGTGGTTTATAGAGGTTTATTATAAAAAATAAGTCTATAAAGGATATATCCTTATATAATAATAGGTATAAAATAAAAGTTTAAAGTAGCTATTTACCCACCATTAGATAGTAGTAGTGTTATTAAACGGCTAATATCTCCCTGTTTATTAAACGCGTTCGTATTATTTATGCCGTGAATAGGGAAGTACGTTACCGGTAATAAAGGCGCGCCTGCCCTTCTATACGTAAATAGGAAAACGGTAGGCAGGATAAGTAGGGCCTCTGTAATTATATATAGGATCTTTTCCGCTATAAGCCTCTTTTCCTTTTCTTCTTCTTTTTTCCTCTTTACGATCCCGAAGGAGGTTATAAGTATCCCCCCCGTTCCTCCCTTAAGGAGGCTATAGGTAGTATTACTATATAAGAACTAAAGCAGAGGAGGGGGCAGTCTAGTAAAGGGGGAACGGGTAGCTAACGTGTATATAGTTTTTCTTTAGTATACTCTCGTAAATTTTTTTTAGTATATACAGGTCTATTTTTCCGTTAGAATCTAAGTTCGAAGGAGAGTAATAGCTAAATAGCGGTTAAATAGAAACTAATATAGAATAGATTAATAGAGAAGATTTATAGTTATTATAGTTAGGTAAAGATTTACCGAGCGTTATAAGTGCGTCCAGAGTTATAGTGGGAATATCGGTGATAGCTAATTAGCTATAGCATAATTATACCTCCTAAGGGTAATTATAGTAGCGGTACGGTAAAGACTCCTAAAAAGCCTTATCCTAAGAAAAGTAATACCGCCGGCGTTTAATAGGGGATTAGTAGTAAGGCGTCCGGTACCTAGGGTACGGATACAGAGAATAATAATACCTCGGCGCCCCTAAGTCTAATTAGTAGAGAAATAGCTAGTAGTTAGTAGTAAACCGGCGGTAAAGCTAGTAATAGGAATAGTAATAATGCCGGTAATTTAAATAATACTTCTATAGCTAGAAATAATAGAATAATCGAATTAGATAAAAGTGGACTAGCTAATATATCTCGGGTATACACTTTATATCCTCCCGCAGAATAGGGATATAATCCGTTTCTAGTTTTATACGTGCGGTGTATCGGTCGAATAACGAAGTAGCACCCTAGCAGTCGTTAAATTCCCTTATATAGTTATAGACATTATAAGTAAAGTAGTCGAGTAGGGGGTAATAGGTAATTAGCTGCTAACTTAGTATAATAGCGGCCTCGCTTAAATATATTTATTATATAGGACAGGGATCGAAACCCTATATAAAGGTATAGTAGTTATTGTATAGCTATTCCACTACTAATTAATCATAGATACTATATATATAATTAGATAAAATTATACGTCTTCGTGACGTGATTAAATAACACTAGTATAAGGCAGATACGAGTCTAAAGGTATATACTCGTGAGTTAACTATTAGGTAATAATTCTAAAAATAATATACAACGAATTATAGGATTTCTAGCGTTTAGGTAAACGTGTATTAAATTATAAGAAGATATAGCTATTAGGTTAAAAGCGCCCCGCGGCTAAGCTCGAGGAGGAACGTTAAGAGTAAGTTTAGCGGTAGTTAATTATAGCCGAGCGGTAGGCTAGTAGTAGCGTAGCGGTTACTAATATACTACGATAACTAGTAGTACTATAAGAAAAGCGAAATAAATATTCTGGCGCCTAAGTATCTTTTGTTAGGTTACTTCGGGATAGGCAGAAATCCCTAACCGATAAAATCATTATAGGTTAACTAGTAGTTAACTTATAAAGATGAGGCTAATAATTATCTAAGAATTTAAAAATCAGCTAAAGGATCTAAGTAGTCAGGCACTTAATAATAGCGGAACCACTATTATTACTCTAGTACCTAGGCCACCCCCTCCTCCGGTAAATAATAACTATAGTGATATTATAGATAAGGAGGATAATAAAGTCTTCATTAGTAATTAATAGGTAGGTAATTCCCCTTATTCTCCTAACTTATAACCTATTACTAATTAGTTATTATAAGGGTGGGTATTATAATCTTAATAATATCGTGGATTAAGGGGTAATCCGTAATTAGTTAGGGTTTGGTTTATTAGGTTTAGACTAATAAAAGTTACCGGCTTTAGACTAGTGCTAAAAGAGTAGATAACGTACGAATATCTAGTACCTAGCAATTAGCGGTTATATATATTTGATTTTAATATAAAGTCCGTAAATAGCGGCTAGAGATTATTAGCTATAAAATAGTAATATAAAGGAACGTAGTTAATTTAGTAAAATACTAATATTACTATACCGCTAATAACTATCAATTAGCGGTTACCTGATTTAAGAGGTACTTAGTAACTAAATCTTTATAGAGATATAACTTAGGTTCCTAAGAATTTTCTTCTATAGGATAAGCTTCAAACTTAATAAGAAATTCACGGTAGCGGTGCTTAGGGTTCTAGCGTATACCTAAAATCCTTTTAATCTTAAACTTATTCTCCTTTTCCCCTTTAATATCTAATAGCTACTTAGCCGGCGCTCCACGGCTATCTTAGTTACAAGGCTCGAGCAAACTAATAGGGAAAACGTTATAAATCCGAAGATACTTAGGAAGGTCGACCTTATAAGCTAACCGGTGATTACCTATCACCTTAGTAATCTTAAAAGGCCCGATGTATTTATATAATAATTTTCAACTCGGACGTGTAATCTTTATATTTTTAGTAGATACTAAAACCTTATCGTGTAAATAACACTCCTTTAGTATATATTTACGGTTATAATAGTCAGCTATTACCCGATTATTAAGTAATAGTTACTGATAAATTAACGTGTAGTTAAGAGATAGTTAATTTACTCTCTCTTCTACTAATATAAAGGGCTGTTTAACTTATAGTATAGGAGTATAGGGGCCGCGCGGGTTATAACCTATTAGGGCCTTAGGGGGTAAATAACGAGTAGCGGAATACTATAACGTGTTATATATAAATTCG